ACATTTTCACCCCGGTAAAATATGTTTCTGGATTGGCTCTTAATGGCTACTCCATATACGCACTAGGAGCATAACAAAAACTAGTACAGTAACGATTGGTACGTTTTGTTTGCTGCATATTGCATAAGTAGTAAGTAACGATTTAAATCCATTAGACAGGTTAACTGTGGAGTTTGTTGGTAAAGTTGGGTAAATAAATATTGGTCCGTAATGGTTACTTTACTCCAGCTCTAGGAGCATAAAAAAAAGGAGTACAAAAATATGTTAAAAACCATTGATTTTAAATTGTAAATTATGTTAAAAAATGAATTTATCAAGAGACAAATTAGTTATGAAAATCTTCTATGTATAAATATATCAAAAAGTCGACTTTATCAGTTTGGTTATGGCCTGGCCGCCCTAAAGAAAAATGGTATTAACAAAAACAAAAAAAGTGGTACATACCAAGCAATATGATTGCGTTTGTCCAGCCACCTTTCTCCCTGATTTCCACGTTCTTTATCTTCTTCTTAAGATCAGAATCATCGGACTTGAGAGACGCAATACTTTGATCATCTTGAGTCTCTACCACCTCAACAACTTCCAAATTCTCATCCCGCTCCTTGAAAAAATGTCGCATTCAAAATAATAAGCAATCAATATCGCTAGCTTATATGTATGTCAGTATGTGTAAGAGTTAAAGAGAGATTTACATACATTTAGCGGAGCAACGTTGTCATTATTTCTCGGATCCATAGCGGCCACTTAAGGTATCTGCATTAAAACATTTGATTAGCTTTTTATGTGGCGAACGTCAAAAGTATAGATAGAACACGTTCCGATATTTATATATATATAGAATAGAACTAATAAAGTAATTTGATATTCGGTTAATGAATGTATGAAGTGGGTTACTTTTCACATAAAGAGAGAATATACTAAGAAACAATTTGTTGTATAACTTTATGAATCAAGCGTGGTCCTATGCGACAATTTTCATCACGCGACAAAACTCGATATCAATTATTTTAAAAACATTGCCCCGTATTCAAAATAAATAACACGAATTGTAGTTTCTCAACAAACAAAAAAAAAAAACTTTATGAATCAAAATATAACCTTTTTCGTAAAATCTCCGGAGAAGGAGAAGAAGTTGTGTCGACGATGAGATTTGGCCGAAGAAATGCAGAAAAAGTAGAAACACCTTTTGTCATTTACGGTTGAAGGATTAGTGTTTTTGCAAATTTCTATCGTTTGAGAAACAGAGAGGCAGATGAATCTAACAATGGTTTACCTAAGTGAAGGAGGCACTTTTCTCCTTTGTTTTATAGGTTTATTTTCGGAAATATAAAAAAAAATCTTAACGAAATCTTTTTTTTTTAATCTACACTTGATCACAACAAATCAGTTATATAATCCCACAACAATTCACCAACTATTTAGGTGCCTCAAAAATTACGAAAACTTTATTTTTTTTCTTTGTAAAATATACTTAGTCGTTTACCAAGTCTAAACAACACTCCATATTTTGTGGTGTTTAGTGATCACCTCTAAGAAAAATGTGGAGCAAAAACATCGAATTTGTTGGAGAGAAAAACGACTTCGTCTTTGTACTTTGTAGTAAATTTTTTGCCAAATGTTTTTCGTTTTAAATGGAGAAGAGTATTTTTTTGTTGATGAAGAAAATGGAAAAGACTTCTTCTTTTTAGGAATTTGTTTTGAACCAAATGTTTTACCTCTTAATAAATGAAATATATTGATCACAGTAATACTCCTAATTAACTGAAAGGATTTTTGGGTGAATGACCCAACTTTTTTCTTTTCTTTTTTAATTACCATTGACCCAATTATTCGCAGAAAAGGGAGGATTTGATTGAGTCAAGGATCAAGATCCAATTCAATTTCATAG